CCGCATCTGCCCAGCCACCAACTGCACTGGGTGGAGCAGTTTGTGCAGCTCCACAGGTGGGGGAGGGGCTCCAACCCCACACTCCAAGTGGGAGACTCCTCTCCCCATTCCCCATGCCACACAGTTTAGTCACTGTCTGGGGCTCTGCACAATGCCTTTTAGGAAAGTAGACGGCCCCTCAAAGTCACTGCTGGGTGCAGTCCTCAGGCCCTTGTTTGGAGCCAAACACTGCAGCGCAGCCTTTCCAGCAGCCAGAGCCCTGGGCAAACCTCTCCTGCTGGGGCTGCTAGCAATAGGCACACTCTTTCACTGGGAAGATAGGGTCCCAGCCTCCTAGGCAGACAGTTCCCCTGGTTCCCTCTGTCCAATGCCACGTGGGCTCTCCTCCACTCCCTGCTGCTCTGGGTTTGGGATCCCTGCATGGGAATGCGAGCCCACACTCCGAGGGGAGGGAGCTTCGCAGCCAGTATCACTCGGGCCTCCCAGTGGAGCACCAGCTCCAGGGGCCTCTTTCTTTCCGCAATTCCCCTTCTCTTACCATCCTCTACATTGTTTCTTCAGTGCTTCCCAGATATAATGTGTCTAATCAGCTACAGTTCTCTTGTTTTTTTTCAAGCTGACCACACAGTATTTTAGCTATAAATCCAGTTGGTGGCTGGGAGCAAGGGCATGCAGTCTCCTGTTACGCCACAACCATCTTGGTCCCCTCTGGCAACTGGCTTCTTCAAAGCCACCGAGGGAGAGTGAGTTTGCCAGCAATATGGAATCTTATATACTGTAACATAATCATGGGAATGCCATTTATCATCTTTGCCAGGCTGTGCTCATTAGAAGCAAGTCACAGGTCCCACTCCCACTTCAAAGGGAGGGGCATAACACAAAGGTGTGAACACCAGGAGGCAGAAATCATCGGGAGCCTTACAGTCTCTACACCCCGCCCCGGCTTCACAGGCCAGTGTTTCCCAACATAGATGCTCTGGAGAGTCCCAAGATACCTAAAAGAATGCCCAGAGAAACCTCAAACAAAAGATTAAAACAAATAAATATACAAACTAACTTTAAAAAGCCACATTCTATTAAAAATGTTACTATGGAGAATTTCAAACATATACAAAAGTAAAACAATATGAACCCTCATGAGTCTGTTACCCATACCTAACAGCCACCAACCCATGGCCATTCTTGCCAATGCACACCCCCAACTATTCGTTCTTGAATTATTTGAATGATAAGGGCTTCTATCATTTCATCTATAAATAGTTGTGTGTGTGTGTGTGTGTGTGTGTGTATATAAAATAACCTTTTTAAAAACATTATCATTATATCATTCTCACCTAAAAATTCCCAATAATTCTTTAGTATTATCAAATATTCAATGTTACAATTCCCAATTGTCTTACATCATCATTTATAGTGTTTTTGAATGCAAATCCACATAATGTCTATACATTACTATACACTGATATGTCTTTTAAATTTCTTTTAATGTGCAGGTCCCTCTTCCATTTCTCTCTTTTTTTCCTTGAAGTTTATTAGTTAAAGAGGTAGGAT